ATTTGATGTCTTAGAACACATTTGCAAATTTGGGAATTTTTGTAAAAACAAAGGAAACTCTGGCGAAATTTCTAGAAATTGGCATAATTTAGGCGAACTTCGAGAGAGCATATCTCCCTCCACAGAGGTTCGATAGGGACGTCCCATACTCCATTTTGAAGCTTGAGATGTCCTCTATTTTCTGGTAAAATTTGGTAAAAATATGAGTTGGATATCGTCCTATAGAAGGCAGGGAGCACAGACTGCCCATTTGCTTACTGCACATGTGGCAGTTCTGGACCGGTTTTGGAAAATTTATTCCCACTTCGTTTCTTGGTCAAATTAGGTGTATGATATATCAAATTGAAGCTTGAGGTGTCTAGTTTATGGTATAAAAGGTTGAGAGAAATTGGTTGGGTGGATTTTCTGGAGTAATTCGTTGAGTGAGGAATGTTGGGAGCTGTTTTTGGGTTGGTTGGCAGTTTTGCTTGTCCAACTTCAAACGGCGATATCCGGAGAAAACGAGCTCTAAATAACTCGTATGATAGCTTCCTAGAAAGGTAATTGAGTTTAGAATAACATATCAAAAGATGGGAGGCTTGTAGAATGCGGTTTGTCCGCAGAAAATTAAAGACCGAACCCTTTCGGATTGGTAGAAAACGTAAAAGTGAGGAATTAGCTAAGTGGGTTTATGGGAACCCTTTAGTGACTTGAGGCAAGTAAAATAAGTTATAAAAGTAATTTAAATAATTATTCCGCAAAGAGTTTACAGTTACGGTCACAACTTTTAATTATTACGTTTTATTGTTTTAAATGTTCGCGTAATAAACAGAAAAAGTTTACTCGCATTTTTATAAATGAATTGATGTGATTGTAACTGCGCTTAATATCATAATTAATGTTAACAATACCAGTGTACAACGGGCCGTTACAAATACCATAGCGGAAAACCCCTCTATAAATCTGCGATAATAACCAGCAAGATCCATAAAGCTCCTGATCTCAATCACAGTCTTAGGTCGTTCCCAGTCACTTACCGCTTCAATCTTACTTGGATCCACAACAACACCACTAGCAGAAATAACATGACCTAGAAATTGAACCTCAGATAGCCAGAATTTACACTTAGATGGCTTAGCATACAACTTTTTATCTTTCAACACCTGCAATACAGTCCTCAGATGCTCCGTATGCTCCTCTTTACTTTTGGAATAAATCAGAATGTCGTCAATAAACACTATCACGAACTGATTCAAATACGGTTTATAAATGCGGTTCATATAATCCATGAACACTGCAGGGACATTAGTAAGCCCAAAAGGAATCACCTGATACTCAAAGTGTCCATATCTGGATCGGAACGCCGTTTTAGGCACATCCTCCGGCTTAATCCGGATCTGGTGGTATCCGGACCGGAGATCAATCTTAGAAAATACATAGGAACCCCTCAACTAATCCAGCAAGTCATCAATACGTGGCAACATATACCTGTTCTTAATTGTAACCTTATTCAACTGCCTGTAGTCAGTACACAATCTCATGCTACCGTCCTTCTTTTTAACAAATATTACTGGTGCTCCCCATGGAGACACTCTTGGTGAAAGAAAATGGCCTTGAAGGCCGTAGGCATGTGAGGATGAAAACAAAATTTTTCAAGAGCGGAAACACACATGCAAATTAAGATACGTACTTAAGGACGTAATGACACCTTTGTTCGTGATTCAAAACTCCAAAGTGATCAGTGTAAGGTTTGAAGGTTCAAACCCTCTAATGTTGATCCACACCACCCTACGTCAAGATGCAAGAACTCTTCTTAAAAGCCACCAATCGAACACCACAAGGAAGGCTAGCTAGGCGTCCAATAGGAGAGAAAGAGGCTTAGTTTTCAAGGTGTTTAGTTGAGTGAATTTTCAGCATGAAGACTCACAAAGTGGCAAATGAAGTTCTATGAGAAGAGGCTAGGTGTTTTCGAAAAACCCTTAAGAGAACCTCACAAAAGGAAGCACACTTGGAGATGAGAGAATGATTGAATTGAATCAGATTTTTCTCCCAAAAATCTGACCTATGTAGCGCCCAATGGTGGAGGAATAAGTGGAGTTGTTGCAATTCAAATCTAGCCAACAACCTCCTATCATATCCTAATGAGACTAAGTCTATACCTAGACAAAAATCTGACTTAATAACCATCATATGGCCAGCCATTTGGTGCGCCCTTATTCAGCCCAAAAATAGTCCAAATACATTGAGTAGTTGCAATTCAAATTGAACCAACTCACTCACTTATTCTCTCAACAAACCAAATCTGATTGGAGCTTATTTGGTTGATCATATGACCATCATAAGACCCCAAAATCAGCGCCCCAAATCAGCCTTGGATGATGCCCAAAGACCTCCTCTTGATACTTGGGATTTGTTCCAACAAGATCTTATCTTATCCTTTTGTTATGAAACAACTTTTCATAGCCAATTCAAATTCGAATTCAAACATTTAAATTCAAACTTTCAAACATTTAAATTCAAAATTCAAATTCAAAATTTAAATATTTGATAATTAATTTAATTAACAATGTCTTGGACCATCCAAGCCCATTACATGTACCATGCGCCCTTTCCCTCTTAGGTGGGCTTCCAAACTTCTTCTTGGGCTAACAACCTTTATTAGGCCCAATACCTTTAATGCTATATTCATCAAGACAATAAGGTGTTAGTGTGTGACCCATTAGGCTCAACATAGCCACTGACATAAATGGGCTTGGGCCCAACAAGCCCACAACCCATTTAATGACAACACAGAGCACTAGCAATGCTTTGTTGCCCTAGAGCTAGTTTGGTTAATGACATGATCATCCTATTACATATATTTGGTTACCGTATGTATTTCCTTTCGTCTCGGTTACCTTCCCTTTAAACCTAGGGTGAGGATACGTATCAACCCTTGCGGTTTAGGGTAAGCTTTAATTCGAAATAGGGAATCTTCAATTTACTGACTCTAAAGGTAGATCATCTTATGATCTCTTTTAATATGCATAGATTCTCGAGTCCTGTAAATGTCATCCCTATTTCTCCGGTTTACAGATAACCTAATCCCTCACAGAGATTTGACAAATTCCTTCAGCTTATCACCCTAGGCATGTGCTCCTTCAGGACATGCCCAAAAGTATACGTATGAGTCTCCATGTTTCAGGCAGACGAGATATACAATCAAAACATGCCTTCTAGAACACAGTCTAGGTGACAACTTATGGTATGAGGAAAGACATACCCAAATATTAAGAGACTGCTCTAATGATATTTTTGTAAGATTTCCTCATAGATTCTCTTTGTGGATCTGTTCAGTGCGAGCTATACCCTTATAGGTCCACCCACGACTTTAGCTAAGACATCTCCATATTTGTAGCTCATGTGGTCTTTACCTTGTATCCGAATACAAGTAGATAAGTCGTGCTAGTCTTACCCGAGATTACTGATCCCCATTCTCAGTGTCTCTAGACTAGGAACATAAAATTAGGAATAAACATCTGGTATCCTTAAATCCTCATGATCGTGATCTCATCACAGATACTCAAGAGATACCTATTTTATTCCAATGGGTTTATCCAGTTACTCATATAATATATTAACAATAATATTGAGACAAAATATGAAACAGGATAAAGAGTGCTTATTATTTATTTGCGACAATATAAAAAGGTCCACATATGTCCTAATCTAATCAAAAGATTGTCTCTAGGACATCCATATACTAACACTTGGCCTGATAAAATTCTTTGCAGATAGCTCTTCAATATGCTTCCTCAGCTCAGCCAGCTCCAGTGGCGACATCCAGTATGGAGCCAAAGAGATAGGCCCCACACCAGGTAACAAGTCAATCGAGAACTCAATCTCCAGTTAGGTGAAAATTTCGGTATCTCATCAGGAAATACATCCGCAAATTCATTAACAACTGGAATACTTGAAATCTCTAACTCCATATCACTAACTAAACCACCCAAAAATACATAACCCAGATCACCAGCCTTCAAGGCTTTAATTGTTTAACAGACAGACATATCAGGAGACGGACAAACCGAGGGCTTCTCGTGAGATAGTATCAACCTCTTTCCGCAGCATTCAATCATTGCGCAGTTTTGAGACAACCAGTCCATACCCAAAATCAAATTAACAGAGGCCAGGGGCAAGATAATCAAATCAATAGTGTAACCCCTGCCTTCGTAGACAAACCCGACCTCTTTACAAATAAAGGAGGAATTACTAACCTCTCCTGTAGCAGTAGTAATACGCATAGGGGGAATCATCCGTGTTACTCTTAAACCCAACCCCTTAGCAACATATTTCGCCACGAACGAATATGTCGCTCCCGAGTCAAACAAAACAAAAAAATCAATATTAGAGATGAAAATTATACCTTTAACCAGATTCGGTGCCTTCTCTGTCTGCTGCGCATTAGTAGTGTATACGCGTCTAACCGTAGGAGCAGATGGCAAGGACTGCTGATTCGCAGCCTGCCCAGTATTACTATAGCACTCCCTGACAAAATGGCCAACCTTACCACATTTGAAACATGAGTTCGAAGCCGCAGTACAAGGACCCCGATGGTACCTCTTACACTTATCACATTGCGGAGCAGAATTTCTGTCATTAAAACCACTCCTCTGATCACCACCCCTTTTGAATTGACCAGGAGGCTGCCTTACCTGCAACCCCATACCCCTGTTGTTATTATGATGGTAGCCACCCCTATTATTATTCCCAGAAGGACCAGATGTCCTCTTAATTTCCTGCTCCCTTGAAGAACTAGACTTCGGATACCTGTCGTAAACAGTTTCAACCCTTTTACACTGGGTCACCAGATCAGCAAAATTTCTAACAGCAGTATTAGACATCATCTTTGTAATTTTCTCATTTAATCCTCGTTGAAATTTGGCAGATAAAAACTCAGGAGTCGGCAGCACACCACCGTAATTTGCAAACTTGACTAACTCATTAAACTTGGCCAAATATGCATCAACAGTCATAGTCCCCTACACCAATTTTTCAAATTCACCCTGCTTGGCTTCCCGGACATCTCTGGGAAAGTACCCTTCATGAAACAACCTTTCAAATAAAGCCCAAGTTAATTCCTCTCCCTGAATAGTGAATGGGCGAGATGTGTTGCACCACCACTCGTGGGCATCTCCCTCAAGCATATAAAAAGAATACATCAGTCTCTGGGGATCCTGGCACCTCATTACCTGAAATATTTTATCCATCCCCATCAACCAGGTAGTAACTACCTTCGGGTCCCTTGACCCCTGAAATGCTGGCGGCTTATGTTTCCTGAATGATATGAGTCTCTGTTCATCAGTACCAGCAACTACCTGCTCAGCAACCCCAGAGGACTGAGCAACAACCTGATATAATCCCCAATAGGAATGGAGGAATGGATCTACTAGGAATGGAATTCTAACCCCAAATTCATCCACCAACACGACCTGTTAAGAACAGAGCGTATCTCACGCTACAGACCTCGGATTTGGGTGATTCCAAAACGAGGTGAAAGATGGCTTCCTGAATCACGATTTTGGCACAAGAATCACTGGAAAAGGATAAGGAATTCGAGAGATATGAATCCAAGATAATATAGAACGAAATTGGAGTTTAAGGATTATAGGTAGGCGCCACAATTCGAAAGAATTGATAAGCCCAAGAACGCCACAAGGATTGATGCCCTTGATAAGTTCAGAGATTCTCAAAAGAACCCAAGAGAACTAGTCTCACCAAAATAGGTTAACTTGATATTCCAAATCTGTCTTCAAAAGCCATGGTGTTCCCTTATATAGTGGGCAACAACCATATTGAGTTTAACCTAAAAGTACTTACACATAAAAGAAGATAGACAACCCAATAATCCAGCCCAATAAGCCTTATTACAAAAAGTTTAACTAAATATAAGAAAATAAAAAATTAAGTGCAGAATTTGGGCCAAGTAAAATAAAGCCTTCATGCATATCCATTGAGGCTTATTCTTCAAGGTCTTCAATTTTAATTAAGTGTATCATTTTGGGCTCTTCTTCCTTTAGACTTGGGCTTGTCTCAAGTAAAGTGGTCACCAAGAGATTTAGAGCCTCTTTAGCCTTTTTAGCTTTTGCTCTTGTCATTGGGCCTCCAAGACCTTGTATGTCCTCCAAGTTTATTGTCTTGGTCATGCCACCTCCTATGTCCTCATCATTCCCTCCTTCTTTAGAAGAATTTGTCCTCAAATTGTAATCCTCGTCTCCCCATAATGTCCTCCAAAAATGGCTTAAGAATTTAGTATCACGATCAGAGACAATGCTTCTTGGAAGTCCATGGAGTCTTACCACTTCCTTGAAGAACAAATCAGCAATATGGATTGCATCATCAACTTTTTTGCACGGAATAAAATGTGCCATCTTAGAAAACCTGTCCACCACAACAAAAATAGAATCTTTACCATTTTTAGACCGAGGTAGTCCTAACACAAAATCCATAGAAATATCAATCCAAGGGCAATCTGGAATAGGTAAAGGAGTATACAACCCATGAGGCAATAATTTAGACTTAGATTGCTTACATACAATGCATCTTTCACACAATTTATGTACATCACGCTTCATGTGTGGCCAATAAAAATGTTCATGCAGCATGTCTAGAGTCTTTTGGATTCCAAAATGTCCCATTAATCCCCCCGCATGTGCCTCTTTCACAAGTAATTCCCTAATAGAACCTTTAGGAACACACAATCTCTTTTCTTTAAATAAGTAATCATTATGCCTAAAGAATCCATTTTGAGCAGCATCCACACAAGTTTCATAGATTTGTGCAAAGTCTGGATCATGCTCATACAATGCCTTAATATGATCAAAACCAATAAACTTAGTTTCAAGAGTAGAGAACAAAGCATACCTTCTTGAAAGTGCATCTGCAACTACATTAGACTTACCTTTCTTGTGCTTGATCACATAGGGAAACTGCTCCAAGAACTCTACCCATTTGGCATGCCTTTTGTTAAGCTTGCCTTGTCCTTTTAAGTACTTTAAGGACTCATGGTCACTGTTGATGACAAACTCTTTGGGCAAGAGATAGTGTTGCCATGTTTGCAAAGCCCTTACCAATGCATACAATTCCTTATCATATGTGGAATAATTAAGAGTAGCCCCATTCAGTTTTTCACTAAAATAGGCAATGGGATGCCCCTCTTGCATCAAAACAGCCCCTATCCCCACATTAGATGCATCACATTCAATCTCAAAAGATTTAGAAAAATTAGGCAATACAAGAATAGGTGCATGAGTTAATTTATCTTTGAGGGCAGCAAAGGCTTTCTCTTGTTTTTCACCCCATTTAAAACCAACATGCCTTTTAATCACTTCATTCAAGGGTGCAGCTATGGTACTGAAATCTTTAACAAATCTCCTATAGAAACTAGCTAAGCCATGAAAGCTTCTCACCACTTACATTCTTAGGAGTTGGCCACTCTTGAATAGATTTCACCTTCTCTTGATCAACTTGCACTCCTTGTGAGCTAACAACAAAACCAAGAAAAACAACATGGTCTATACAAAACACACATTTTTCCATGTTAGCATACAATTTCTCATGCCTTAGTGCTTCCACAACATACCTCAAGTGCACAAGATGATCATCATAGGATTTGCTATAAATCAGAATATCATCAAAATAAACCACAACAAACTTTCCTAGAAACTCCCTTAACACATGATTCATTAGTCTCATGAAGGTACTAGGAGCATTGGTTAAACCAAAGGGCATAACCAACCATTCATACAGCCCATATTTAGTTTTAAAAGCTGTTTTCCATTCATCCCCTTCTCTAATCCTAATTTGATGGTATCCACTTTTTAAATCAATTTTAGAGAAGAAACAAGCACCATGCAATTCATCCAATAAATCATCCAATCTAGGAATAGGATGTCTATACTTTACCGTGATGTTATTGATGGCTCTACAGTCAGTGCACATTCTCCAGGTTCCATCTTTCTTAGGCACTAAAAGGACTGGGACTGCACATGGACTTAAGCTTTCTTGCACCCATCCTCTTTTCATCAAGTCTTCAACTTGTCTCTGAATCTCCTTGGTCTCTTGGGGGTTACTCCTATAGGCTGGCCTATTAGGCAATGCAGCTCCCGGCACGAGATCAATTTGATGTTCAATGCCTCTTAGAGGAGGCAGTCCATGAGGCACCTCTTTGGGAAAGACATCTTCAAATTCCTGCAACAAAGAAGAAACCTCATTTGGAAGAGAATTAGTAGGACTGGCATCTTTGATATTATTACACTCTTTACTCAAAAGTAAGAGCATTGGCTTTTTCAATTGTATAGCCTTTTTCACCTCTTTTTCTTTTATAAACAAATTTTGTGTTTTTCTCTCTTTTTTGCTCTCTCTCTCTCTTTCCCCTTTTTCTCTCCACTTTCTTTTCTCTCTTGCTTTCTTTTATCTCTCATTTTCAAATGATCCTCACTAACTTCTCTTGGAGTCAAAGGTGCAAGAATAGTCTTGCGTTCTTCATGCACAAAAGAGAATTTGTTGGTGTAACCATCATGCATAACTTTCTTATCATATTGCCAAGGTCTCCCAAGAAGCAAATGACAAGCCTCCATTGGTACCACATCACATAAAACTGTATCATCATACTTTCCTATGGAGAAGTTCACCTCCACTTGTTTGCTTACGGTCACTTCACCATCCTCACTAAGCCATTGAAGCTTATATGGCAGCGGGTGAGGTTTGGTTTCCATGCCCAATTTAGACACCATTCTAGCACTTGCAACATTGGTACAACTCCCTCCATCAATAATTAAAGAACATACCTTTCCTTGGATAAGGCATCTAGTATGAAAAATGTTCTCTCTTTGACTATCATCCATGTCTTTTACTTGGCTACCCAACATCCTTCTTACCATAAACAAATCTCCTTCCGGTATAATTTCCTCGTCATACTCATCTTCATCATCATGTGAGGCAGAATCTGAAGAAGACTCACTAGTAATCTCTCCATCCTCTTTAAGTAACATAGTCTTCTTAGTTGGACATTCTGAAGCTATGTGACCTCTTCCCAAACACTTGAAACATTTTATTTCACTATTCCTTGTCTTCTTAGGGGTCTCATTGGACTTAATTTGAGTCCTTTGAGGTGCAGCAGTGGGGTTGCTTGATGAAGTACCTCCCTCCTTCTTATTTCTGTCCTTCCAACTTGAAGAATTAAAATTAGAAGAGTTTTTCCTCATGACACCCTTTCTCTTGAGTTGTTGTTCTACCTTACTAGCTTGATGCACTAAATCCTCCAACTCCACATAATTTTGCAACTCCACAACATCCCTTATGTCACTATTCAGTCCATGCAAGAAACGTGCCATAGTAGCCTCCCGTTCTTCACTAACATTTGCTCTAATCAAGGAAACCTCCATCTCTTTATAATACTCATCTACACTCTTGTTACCTTGTGTAAGCCGTTGAAGTTTATTGTGAAGGTCTCTATGATAATGGGAAGGAACAAATCTTCTTCTCATTAGCCTTTTCATCTCCATCCAACTATCCACCAATGGTTCTTCATATCTTACCCTCTCCTTTTGCAATTGGTCCCACCAAATAAGAGCATAATCACTAAACTCCATGGCTGCCACCTTCATTTTCTTTTCTTCAGTATAGTTGTGACATGAAAATAAATGCTCAATCTTCATTTCCCACTCCAAATAGGCCTCCGGATCACTTTTTCCTTTAAAAGATGGTATATTAAGCTTCACCCCCTTAATTATATCCTCTCTAGCAACATCCTCATTATCTCTTCTCCTTCTATCAACCCTTCTTCTACCTCCATCATCATCATGAGTCCCTTGATTTTCTAAGTGCTCAATTCTCTCATATAAGTCCTCTGTTTGCTCCCTCATCATCGTTTGCATTCGATCCATAATGGCATCGATTAGCAACCTGTTTTCTCTCTCACGAGGAGGGCTACCTTCACCACCTGCACCTGCCATAATTCAAGGAAAAGAACAAGAATAAAAGAAATTGGACCTCACCACTCGCTCACGTGTTTACACTCTTAAAATGTATCACTCGTGTTTGTTGCTCTCTATTAGGCTTTTGTGTAATGTGCTCTCTTGCCTTTTTCCTCTCAATAGCTCTCTTTAAGTTCTTAACAGAATCTCCAAGAACACTCAAGAGTACAATCCCAAACTCAAGAATTCGTAATGACAAATTGGAAATATGTCAAAGAAGGCAAAACAAAGAAAACCAAAACAAATTGAAGGAATTATTCAAGGAAGACACTTTGGACCTGATTTGAGAGTAGTAGTGTGTAACAAGTAGCTGTATAGCATATATATATTTTTTTTTCAACTCTTTTTTTTTTTTTTTTTTATAAAACCTGATG